AATATACTAAAAAAGGCATTGAATTGTTCTATTTAAATCAGTAAGTTGTACAGCATGTAAATTGTATATAAATAAAGCTATATTTTAAAAAAGAAAGAATGTCATATTAAAACAATATTAGAAAATAGTTAAAGTCTTTTGGGTGTGGGAACCTGATTCTCCATCAACTAGGCAACTCTGAACAATTCTATAATAACAATGACTTTAAAAAATTTAGAAATTTTTGACGTTCTTTCCTGCCTTTCAACATAATGAAAAGAAAATTCAATCAGCTTATTTTAATTGAAGAATAAGATGTAAGAGTTAACATTGGATAAAATGTGATTCACTAAGGATGATAAAAAATTTGCCACACTGAAATTACAATGATGAGCCCCAAAAAAGATTTTAATTAACTTACTCTCTTCTTTCTCTCCATCCCTTCATCTACGAAAGGTGACTTGAAAGCACAATACATCATGGAACACAAGTGTCACAAAATCCAGGTGTACTTAGCTATTTTTATGACAGAAATTATAATATATAGAATATTACTCCTTATGCCATTCTTACAGAATGAAGAGACAAAGCTATCTGGAAAACTACCACCACTTCAATTAATTATTCAGTGTCATTATTCAGTATTCAAAAGGAAAATCTAAAAATAAATTCCGAAGTTTTAGAGAAAAAAAGCAATATTTTTATTTTTATGGACATGACTGGTCTTTGGGAAAATTAGACTCATCTATGAAAAAGACATGCCTTCTGACTTTTCCACTAGATGAAAAATTCCTACAAACTATATTTTTAAAAAAAAAAAAGATTATGAGAAAGCTTTACACAACATAGTCAAATATTTTCATGAATATATAAGGGAAAATTCCCATCCAAAATCAAGGCCACAAAATAATGTTTAAGTAAATCTTCTAATTTTCATACCATGAAATCCAGGCAAAATTAGAGACCAGAGTCCCCAATAACATGGACTCACTCATGAGATAACTCAGGAGATAATGCCTTAACCTAGAAAATGAACATTGATATTGGGCTTTCATGTACTCTGGCAAACTAGCATGAAATGAACCTCTCTATAGGGGTGCCCTTCACAGGGATAATATAAGGATCAGTTACATGTAAAAGGTGACACGGAGTGTTTTGAGGAACACACATATAAACTAAGAGTTTTATTAAAATAGGGCTACATGTAGAAAGGTACACAAATCCTAACTGTACTGATAAATTAATTATAGCAAAGTGAGAACACACATATAACCACCACCCAGATCAAGAAACAGAAAATAATTTGCACTGCACAAACTCTTCTCGTGCCCTTTCCACACCCTCCCTTCCCCAAAGATAACTGCTAGTCTGACTTCTAACACCATGGGTTAGATTTGTTGTTTTGAACTTTCTATAACTGAAATAATACAGTATATGTTCACCCATGTCTAGCTTCTTTCACTCTATAATTTGTTTTTGAGATTTACAGTTTGTTCCCTTTCATTGCTATCTAGTATTTTATTATAAGAATATACCACAAATTATTTATCCATGCTACTGTTGAGATTCATTTGGGTTGTTTTCAGTTTGGGGCTATAATAAATGGTCTTGTTACGAATATAATTTTTGGTGCACAAATGTAAATGTTTATGTTGGGTACATTCCTAGGAAGATAATGCTATATCATATAATACGTGTATGTTCACCTTTAATAGATACTGTGAAACTGTTTTCCTATGTGGTTATAACAAATTATACTGCTTCAAACAGTGTATGAGAACTTTGCTCCATATCCTCCATAACACTTAGTATTGTCAGTCTTTATAATTTTAGCCTTTCTTGTGAGTGCCTGATGGCATCTACATGGTTTTCATTTGCATTTCCCCTGATGATGAGTAAGGCTGAAGACCTTTCCAAACATTTTCTGGCTATTTCAAAATATTCTTTTCTGAAGTGCCTGTTCAGGTCTTTTCCCATTTTCTCATTAAGTTGTCTTTTTCTTATTGCTTTGTAAGAGTTCTTTGTAAATTCTAGCTCTAATTCTCTTCTTGGTTGTATCTACTGCAAATACCATCTCACATTTTGTAGCCAGTGTTTTTACTCTCTCAATGATATCTTTTATGAACAGAAGTTCTTTTTAACAACAGAAGTCCAACTTATCAATTTTTTCTTTTATGGTTAGTGCATTTTGTGTATTGTTTAACCTATGTTTAAGTAATGTAATATTTTACTTTTGACATTAAGATTTGCAATGCACCTAGTACTGATTTTTTACTATAGTGTGGGGTAGAAATCCGAAGACCATTCTCACCCCACTACTCCTCAGCACCCTTTAATGATAAATCAAGTATCCATTATAAGTGTCAGGTGTTTCTATATCCTCTATTCAGCTTCATTGATCTGTGTGCCTGTCTTTTGCCAATACAGCACTGTCTTAATGTAGATTTATAATAAGTTTCGATATCCAGTAGCGTAAATTCTCCAACTACTTCTTCTTCAACATTAATTTAGCTATTCTTCGCTTCTTGAGTTTCTATACAAATTTTAGAATCAGCTTGGCAATCTCCATAGAAAAATGCTATTGGCATTTTGATTTGAATTGCATTTAATCTACAGATAAATTTGAGGAGAACCAACATCTTTAAAACATTGAATCTGCCAGTCCAGGAATGTGAGATATTTCTCCATTCATTAAAACCTTCTCTAACTTCTCTCAAAATATTTTATAGTTTTCTATGATGACATTTTCCACATATTTTGTATATTTTTTCCTAGGCATTTGATGTTTTGTATGCTACTGGAAACGGCATACTGTGTTCTTTATTCTGTTCTCTAACTATTGGAAGTTAGTATAGAGAAAGGAAATTGATTTTAGTGTTTTGACCTTGTGTACAGCAATCTTGCTGAATTAACTTATCAATTATAATATTTAATCTGTAGAATGATTTGAATTTTCTATGAACACAATTCTGTCATCTGAGAACAATGACAGATTCATTTCTTCCTTTCTCCCATTTATACATTTCCTTTTTTTTCTGGTCCTATTGCACATTCTTGGACATTGAGTACAAAGTGGAATAGAGGTAATGATAGTGGACCTACTCACTTCATTACTAATTTCATGGAAAAAGGCTTACAATATTTCATCATTAAGTATGATATTTGCTGTACTTTATTTGTAGACAGCTTTTATCAAATAAAGGAAATTGCCATCTATTCTTAGTTTTCTAAGAGTTTTTATCATGAATAGATGATGAATTTTACTCAATGCTTTCTTTACATCATCTCAGATGGCTATATAATATTTCACCATTATTCTTTTACTCTGGTTAATTACATTAATTGGTTTTGAAATGTTGAACTGACCTTTCATTCCTGGAATAATGCTAATGTGTCTGTGATATATTATAATCTTTATCACTGGACTCAATTTGCTATATTTTGATATTGTTGCTTCTTTGTTTATGGGAGAGACTGGTTTGTAAATTTCCTTTCTTGCTATGTCTTTATAAAACTTGGTATAAAAAGGTTACAATGGCCTCATAACATTAGTTGAAAAGTGATCTCTATTTTTTTGTTATCTGGCAAAGTTTGTATAGGGTTACTGCTATTTCTCTCTTAAATGTTTTGGAGAATTTACAGATAAAATTATCTAGGCAAGAGTATTCTTTGTGGAAAAGTTTATATTATGGATTCAATTTATTTAGTACAATGCTTCCCAAACACTAATGTGTCCATCAATTACAAGAGGATCTTGTAAACATTCGGATACTGATTCAGTAGGTTGGTGTGAGACCTGAGACTGCCTTCCTAACAAGATCCCTGTGCTATCAACGCTGTTGGCACAGGGATGATAATTAGCAAGATTTTATCGTATATGACAATTCAGATTTTCTGTTTCTTTTTGTGTCAATTTTCTTGTGATGTTTTTCTAGGAATACTTTCATTTCAGGTACATTTTCTAATTTTTGGCATAAAAGGTATAAAAAAAGTACTATGGACTACATTATATATGTAGAATCTCGAGTGGTGTCCCTCTTTTCAATTCTGATATTGTATTTGTGGGTTGTTAAAAAATTTGGTCAGAGTTTAGCATTTTTACTTGTAAATAAGAAAATTTAGGGGTTTTATCTTATCTATTGTTTGCTTTCTATTTCATTAACTTCTGAGTTTATTTTAATTATGTTTTTCTTCCTATATGTATTTTGGATTTTATTTGCTGGATTTTTTGTCGTTCGTGAGACGAATGCTTAGATCGTTGATTTTCAGCCCTTCTTTTCTATCAAATACATCGAATCTATGAATCTTCACTAAGCACAAGTTAAACTACATGTCATAAGTTTGCTGTGTCATATTTTAATTATTTTTCAGTATATATTTCAAAATATTTTCAAATTCTCATTGTGATTTCTTCTTGTCTTGTTTTCCCCAGCTTTATTAAGGTATAACTGACAAATAAAAAATGTAATATATTTAAAGCATACACATGATGATTTGATATACACAGACATTGTGAAAGAACTCCCACAATCAAGTTAATTAACACAACCATTACTTCATATAGTTACCTTTTTTTTTGGTGAGAATGCTTCAGATTTACTCTCTTACCAAATTTTAATTATACAATACAGTAGTAGTTTACAATGCTTCTTGCCTTAAAATCTACTATATATACTAGTATAAGTAGGCCAGAGGGTTTTTTTAAATCTGTTTGTATGGCAAATCTTTTTCCATCCCTTTGCTTTCAATATTTCTGTAGCCTTGTATTTATTTATGTGTCCACTTTGCCTTAATCTTTGTGATGCCCTCAAACAAAAGAGTTTATTTTACCTTGTCTGCATTTTCTAATTTTTCTCAGTGAGATGGTTGATGTAATAAGAATCTAGAGTGACTTTGCTGAAAACAGCAGTCTAATTTTGAGTCTTTTCATAAGACATAATATTTCCCATGATTCTTTCTACCATAGTAAAACAAGAAATGGTAGGGACTGATTTGAGAAGAGGCCCCTTGAAGCAAAAATCTCATCTGTAGATTAATGCAAAATATACTTGGATCTCAGGGACCCATATTCTTCCTGGTTTTCTCATTATATTCACCCTGACCTGAAGAAATTGCAGCCAGTCACCAGGCTTGAAATGAATATTTAAAAATTTAAAAAGTTATCATAACTAGCACTTAGAACAGTACCTGACAAGTAGTAATTGCTATACAGATATTAGCTATTATTGAATATTCCCACGTATAATCAGTCTTTGGACTAATTTCTGATAAAACCAACACAATTCATGTGGACTCAATACCTGTGATAATGAATACTGTTTTAGGACTTCTTGGAATGTTTAAACATTATGAAATATTTATTAGATGCTCACTATGTATGAAAGGTTATGTTGAACAATTTTAATATGAAATAATGTAGGATAATCCCTGACCACAGAGTTGTTGTTAAGGCATGATATATATGTTAAAAATTAAACATAACTTGTTTAAATATCTCATTGTTTTATTACGCCTTGAGGGAAAGAATTCTATCTTATTCATTCATCTCTCTTTTATAAAGCCTAGTACATGTATCTGCATATAGCCAATCTCCAAATCATTATGGAATTAAAACAAGCTTACAAAGTATCATATGCTAAATTCTAGAAAGCAGTAACTACAAAAAAAGGAATCACCTTGTTTGACTGATGAATGGGTGAATGGATGTATGAACAAATAAATGAAGGAACTAACTACTCCTTAAAAGAAGTATGTTACTTAGATAAGGGGAGAAGTCATGGTAGTAAATTCTAGGTGAAGAAAATAGAATGATAAAAAGGATAGAGATAGAATTGTACATGAAACATTTAAGGATGAATGAATAAAATATCTTAATGGTAGTATAGGGGTCATATAAAATAGAAGGAAAAGATAATAGATGATTATGGACTAAGGAAAGTTGTCAACGGTAGTTTAACAAGTTTAGACTATGTTTACTGGATAAAGGTAAGAATTTGAAGGCTTCTGATCAGCTTAACAGTTATTTTAGAATAATGCAGCAATAGTGGTAAATTCTAATTGAATTGAAAAGAGATTTGAGTTGACAAATACATTAAGTAGCTATACAAATATTCTACCTATATATAACAAAACATGGACCTGAGTTTCAGTTTTTGGCACTGGAAATTGTAAAAAAAAAAAAAAAAAACCCAGACAGTTTGTATAAGTGTTACTGAAGATAAATTTACAGGATTTGATGAATAAATGCATATGAGGATGTATGGAGACAACACAACAAAACCATGCCTTACCTGCTCAGAGAAATGTTTCAGTAATGTGATATGTTTAATGAGGTGGCTTTTCAGACTTGAAAATTCTGACATGCAATCAAATGGAGGCCTGCCAGAGAAGGATGACAAGAGATTCCATCAATCTCCGTTTCATGGAATACCATAGCTTTATGCCTTAGGAAACTGAAAATTATAATCCACAATATATAGAGCTTTAGATCACTTTGAAAAAGTACCAAGGGTCAGCTGAATTTTAGACATCACAGAGTTATATTAAAAAAACAAAACAGAAAGCTTAGATGGAAGCTGATCAATGTAATATATCTATGGCCTCAATAAATTGGTAGTATGGTAGATGCACAATTTACAGTAGTTATTCCTGTTTTCAAGTTACTTTAAAAAGGTGGAAGGCAGAATAGGTAATTTTTAAGTTTTTTATTTCCTTTTCCTTGGCTAGCTTACTGTACAAATGGTTACATGAAAAGAACAAAGGAGGAAGGAAAATTAGCAAATATTAATTAAATATGTTATCTACAAATAGATTATTCCTTGAAAAATAAAGATTGGCTGTATCTGGTAATTCATTTTATTTGTCACAAATGAAAAGGATGTATTTTACTTAGGACACAATAGCCAATTGAAAAGTGTTTTGTCTTTATTGTTTTTATCTAGCATAGCTCTTAGGCTTCTGTGGTTTTGGTGACCTGTAATTACAAGCAGGAATTTTAATGAGGTGATAAAACCTACATAGCTTTGTTGGAAAATGATCACCCACTTCTCATCTATCCTATTATATTCCAAAAATGGAGAACAATTTTCAGAATGTCATTTGCAAAACAAATGAACAAGCATTACAAATGAATAAGCTGAAACCATATTTACTCTCACAAGGGAAATGACTTTATTTTTAAGAATTAGCAAGAAAAAGTAATTTATAAGACCCCTCAAATTCCTAGGAGATTATAATCCCTGGTGCTTATATGAAAGTGCCGTTTTCTGGAGATCTACTTCTAAAGCACATAAGAATAGGGATAATATACACATTACTTGTTATAATTAAGTTTATAAACTTGTGTGACAAAAGTATCTGCCAGATGCATAGGACAACCTCTTTTAACTACATCCAGGGCATGAAATATGTCAGCAAAATTCCCTGGGCAGCTTTTCTTTTCTCATCTATTTCTAGATCAAAAAGAAAAAAGTGCAAATGTCCAAGAAAACACTGGGTCAGTATAGAGCCTATTACCTCGTGCCACCCTATCCCTTGATTCTCAACAAGAAACACGCTCAATTGATGTTTTCTTACAGGTAGAATCTTGAGTAGTTATGTTTGGATAAGTGGTCTTGAGTTACTATATGAATTTTGTCATAAATTCTGTCTACCTCAAATCAGTAAACCACTTAAAATTTTAATGACTAATGGAAATATAACATAATGAGAGAAATCCTTGTCAACAGACTCTAAGATTTTCATTTAGTACCATAATTAAGAGCTTTTTTTTTGGTGAGGAAGAAGTTCCCTGAGCTAGCATCTGTTTACACAAAAAACTATTGTGTTTTTTGATGCATTTTATTCATAACATTCTTATGTGTTCAAAGATTATATTTAGAATGTTCAATAAGTCTTCTGCTTAGTAAAATGGTTATTCAGTATAAATACCTTTAGTAGTCACTAGTTTCTAAGAAAGGACTATGAGAATCTGTAATGTTTTAAACTAAACTTTAAAGTCTTAAATCAATTAGATAAAAAGATGCTAATATGATCCATAAATTTGCCATATTCAAAAGCTATTATATGAGGTCACTCTGTATAGATTATATCATTTCTGAAAGAGGAATGTAACTGATTGTCTTAAGGACTACTTACTACAGAGTATTGCAGGAGCAATATAAGTCACTTTTAGTCTTACCTGGTTCCACTGATGACAGCAAAGTAGTGATTTGCTCATCTCAAATTGGTGATGTAGTGAAACTATGCCAAAGAGTGCTTCTTAATACTGTCACCATGATTTGAATTTTGTAATGAGTCTACTTTAATAAAATGAGAAAATCTAATACTGTGAATTATCAACTATCAGTGAAGCTGATTATATTTATATTGGGGGTCCTCTTTGTTGCCACTACTCAGTCCTGTGGCTATCTTTGCCGTCTGCCCATTATCGCTTTCCTGTTCTCCCTAAGTTGAGTTCATTCTAATTATTCCAATTATTTTCTTTTTTTCAGCTTGGTACCAGATAGATGTTTGCAAGGAACTCAGAAGAGAGTAAGTAAAGGAACTATGTTGACAGTGGGGAACTGATGAATTTCCTAAATTTCTTTTAACAGTCATTTTGAAATTTCTTTGAACAAGTGGGTCAGTCACTTCATCCCTTCTTTATGTGAAGAAAATGGGTTTATCAATCAATTGCAATGAAAAGAGATGATAAAGAATCAGTAAGAGCAAGTAACAAAGAGGGAGAAGAAATGTATGATGACTTCTCCCTCTTATGCTTCCCCCCTTAATTATAAGGGCATGCTTCCCTCTATCACCATCTAACCTGTCATCTTTGGGATGTAACACATTCCTGATGACAGAAGCAAATGGCCTAGGAAGAAATATACATATAATGTTTGATTTGTGTGTAGAATATAGAGTTGACTATAGTCATTGATCAAAACAACAATTAGGAAATTTAAATATTAATATGGTATCTAAATGTTATTATCAAAACAAGATTAGAGATCAATAGCCTTCGATTTCCATAGCCTTCTCTTAGCAACGCAGAGTTTAAAAAACAAGACTGACTCTTGCTTATTAAAAATCTCTAATGTAATTAATATATAAAGAAAAAAACCTGTTTTGTTGCTTCAAGAATCCAGATGTAATTTAGAACTTTGCTGTAACTTTTGTGCATTCCTGAAAGACTGTAGAAAAACAAGTGCTGTTTCTAATGCAGCAGCAGAGTTGGATCTTTAAAGGAATCCCAAAGTGAATCCTTTGTAAAACAAACACTATTTCTGTAAAATTATTTTTTCTGTAAAAAGTAAGATGATCAAATATTGGTTCACTTAAAGGGCATTATACAATTATGTTGTTCACCCTATGGAGATATTCAGAGCATCAATAAAAATCTGTAAATGTCTTTGAAACATACTGTGGGAATAAAATCCAATCCATAAATAAGTTTTCTGAAGAGGGAGAAAGAGAGAAAAATCCAACTATCTTAAGGCTTTACAGTTCAGATATTAGGAATTACCTTTCCAGAATGTTTAGTATCATCTTGACCATATTAATCAGTTCAAGAGCAGCTGTAAGAATGTTACGAGGTGGTTGTTCATTAGTGCCATGTAGAGTACGCGCCCTTCTTCTTTCCGATATCAGGACAAGCACATGATCAATAGCATGCTCAAGATGTTCACTTTGTTTTCTGAATCTGGTAGGCATCTTTTTGTCATTCTGAAATTAAAGTAGGAGTTTGGAGGGAAGAAATAAGGCAGCACTTATCTAACACACTATAAATATGGAATAGGTCCAACAGTAATACCATTTAGCCAAAGTAATATAAAAGGGATGCAAAATCACCATCAAACACTTTTCACTCTTTACTTAGGTATGTAATTTTAGAATGTGGCAAAAACTACTTGCCTACCATTAACACACGTTAATTTTGGTCCTGTCTTATAAGTACACCTGCTTCATTTCTTTTGTAGAACATAATCTAGTGAGGGGAGAACCCATACTACTTTGTATGCTGGACAGGATTGGGTATAGATCTAAGAGACAGTAAAGGGTATCCTTACTCTTCATTTATCTCAGAGCCCTGGAGACCATGTATAATCCTTTCTGAGAGCTGGTAATTTAAACATACAGAAGTTGTAAGATTATTAATTGGGTACCTGTATTTAAATGTACCACTTCAAGTGGTACTTCAAGTAGACACTATCTCTTTTACATATTTTCTCTTTGCATGAACATATGTACCACACTCCCATGCATTACCTTTTTGTCCAGGGCCTCGTCAAATGGCTATCAGAAATAACCACAGAGTTGCAATAAGGCCCATGTAGCCTCCTCTTTGGAAGAAGTTACTCTAGCTTGCTGGTTTAATGGTCCAGGAATCTGTGATTTACTAAGTAGTGAGGGAATCTATTAAAAAGGACGTGTTCTTTTAGTCTTTGAAATTTTGAGGTGCAGGGACATTTTATTTAATTATGTAAGAAATAAATTTATGAGTATTTCTGGCCTGGTTCCAATAAGATATTTTGTGAAAAGATTATATTTATGGGACTTCTATGAAATCAGAGAACCAAATGCACATCTCTTCAATAATTACTTCTTCCTAATGTAAAATCTGTTATGTGATATGTTCAGATGTTCACTCTTAGTGTTTCACTTTAAATATCACAACTCAACCTAAAAATAGGTTATCCTCCAGTTTTCTGATGAATAGGTTTGTTTTGGTAGCATCCACCTCCTGCAAATAAGCTTGCTCTACATTTGTTGACTGTCAAAGTAAAATGTGTATTTGGGCATTTTTTTCCTTCTTTCAAAATGTTTTAGAATATGGAAAAGAAATATAGAAAATGATGGGATCTACTCTGTTTCTGGTGAGGAAAATTGGCCCTGAGCTAACATCTGTGCCAATCGTCCTCTGTTTTGTATGTAGGATGCTGCCACAGCATGGTCCCATGAGAAGTGCGCATGTCTGTGCCCGGGATCTGAACTGCCAAACCTCAGGTTGCCAAAGCAGAATGTGGGAACCCAACCACTAAGCCACGGGGCTGGCTCCCTACTTTTCTTATTTATAGAATTTATTTATCAGAATGAAATTCTCAATGCCAACACTTAAGATATAATCATCAGCATGGTTTTACTTCCATCTTCTGCTTCCCATTCTTCAACTTTTATTGATATAATGTGGGATTTAATATTATTGAAGTATACACTTTATCTTTCAAGAGTTTTTCAAAATTTTGTAAGTTTATAACCATATTAACGAAGATTATTTTGACAAGCTATGCTTTACTAGTTTCATCGCTCATTGCCAGTTCTTTTATACTATAACTTCTCTGTTCTTGAATTTTTTTTCATCCTTTTGTCAGCTGAAATACATCTTCCAATAATTTTAAGGGATTAATGGGTAATACATTTCCTGACTTTGTAGACTTAAGACATTTTTCAGTCATCAACTAACACAGATGGTTTTCCAAGGTCACACAGTTAATTATTAGCAGATCTTATCTGGGAAACAGAAGCCTGCTGATAGCCAGTGCTCTTTCTACTACATTATTAAACGTATTTGGCCCTAGAGGGATAGGGAAAGATGGGAGGTTTTGATGTATGCAATACTATCGTCAGTGTGGTGAAATAGAAAAACATTTAGGTCTGGTGTGAGGTCAGAGTTTGTGCAAATCATTTAAATGTCTCAGACTCTTGGTTTGATTGTTTGTCTCTCTCTAAAATGAGACACTAACACCAGCTTTACCTATGCATAGGATTGTTGAAGATATCAAATATTATACAACAAAGACCTATTATTATTTATATATAATTATGTATGCCAAAAAGAATCACCATATTTTAGGAATTCTTAATGACCAGACTCTAAATGGCAGGTAATCTTTACAGACCTAATGAAACATAAAAGAAATTAAACTACTAGTCCCTCTGATATTCTAAGTAAATTTGGATTGACTTTTCTAATGTAGTTTTTGAAAATTCTGTTAAGGTTAAACAATTGATAAATACTATCCTTTTTTTAGTTAATAATTCACCAGACCTCCTTTAGGAGTGAAGATCCGATACATGCCTTCACTTTTTTTGTTTTAAAATTATTTTTCAGAGAGCAAAGTTTTTATCAGTAAATCAAAAACAACTACATCAAGTAACTTATACTTTGGGAATGTTTATAATTGAGAAATGAAATCCCAGGAGTGCCATAATGGTGATTATTTTAGCATGGACAGCTAACAGCAAATAATATTATTTAAACTGCAAAAGAGAGGGTCATGTTGAAAAATTTAAAAGCCATATATATTATCATACTATTGTGAATTTTTCATTATTATTAATTACACATATCAATAAATCATGAAGGTGTCTAATAAAAGTGTTTCTCAAGTGTTAGCCTGCTCTACAATATCGAACTGACTCTGAAACCATAAAGGTCATAGTGTGCCAAAAGAGGTATTTATTTACTTCAACCCCTTTGTGATTCTATAAGCATGCTGAGAGCAAAGAAAGATGACCTCTCATGTTTCCATTAAAATTTGAATTACAGACTTTTCAGATTTCGTTATGACTCATGAAATGAAATAAACCAATTCTTTTTTCCAGTTGACAGTTAATTATTTCTTGTTAGTATATGATCTTCATTAGTTTTAGAGAGTATAGAGCTTTCAAGAACTGACGACAATAACAACAGTAGAAAGAAATGTCATGTGTACATCCTTTAGCTCTCAGAAACACATTTTATCCATTAAACTGGAAGAGGAGTCTCTTCTCTATGTACCAGCTTCCTCCAAATATTCTTGATATTGCTGTTGGATTGATTATGTGTGCTGCATATTCTAACATTATTCTGCCCAATGTATGTGGGGCAGGAATAACAGCTGAATAAGATTATTGTAGCAGGCACAGTCATAATTTGAGAATGGAACGGATCCGTTTAGAGAATATTGACCCATACTGATAAGCCTAAGTGATTTTTTCTACCTAACAATATGCGAACTTTCTGAGGTTTCTGCAAAAGGTATTGTGAATTTGTGTGATTGAAAATAGGCTAAATATATCAGGTAAATGCAAACCAAAACCATAATGTGATACCACCTCACACCTGTCAGAATGACTATTATCAAAAAGTCAAAAAATAAGTGTTTCTGAGGATGTGGAGAAAAGGGAGACCTTGTACACTGTTGTAGAAATGTAAGTTGGTGCAGCCACTATGGAAAACAGTATGGAAACTCCTCAAAAAATTAAAAATAGAACTAGCATATGATCCAGCAATTCCACTTGTGGGTATTTATCCAAAGAAAATGAAAACACATTCAAAAATATATATGCACCCCTATGTTAATTGCACCATTATTTACAATAGCCAAGATATGGAAGAAACCTAAGTGTCCATCAATAAAGGAATGGACAAAGAAGATGTGGTATATATATGCAATGGAATATTTCTCGGCCATAAAAAAGAATGAAACCTTGTCATTTGTGACAACATGCACGGACCTAGAAGGTATTATGCTAAGTGAAATAAGTAAGAGAAAGACAAATACTGTATGATTTCATCTGTATGTGAAATCTCAAAAACAAAGCAAATGAACAAAACAGAAACAGACTCACAGACACAGGAAACAAACTAGTGGTTACCAGAGTGGGGATGGGTTAAGGGATGGGTGAAATAGGTGAAGGGGATTAAGAGGTACAAACTTCTAGTGTGGAAATTAATAAACGGAAACCTCATTAAATTGGAGTCAGGAGGCAAAAAGGGGGAATTCTCACGCCTTACAGAAAAGCAGAGCCCAACAGGAAGAAGACGTCCTCTTCTTGGCAGGCAAGAGGTTCAGCGAATGAGAGACTATCACAATTCAGATGAAAAGCCACTACACCTTGAACTCTTTGTCTACAACAGACCTCCCAACTTCCTCTTCCCTTCTATAAAAGTTTCTCCACCTTTGCTACTAGGGGACTTGTACACGGGCCACCACGTTGCAGACCCCAAAATGTAATTCTCTGCTGATTCTGAATGAATACTTTTGCTGGAGAAATAATCAGCTGTCTACTTGTTTAAAGTCAACAGTTTAGTGGCCTGTATGGGGATCCAGAGAAAATCCCCGACAACTTGGAGACTGGTGAGTAAACAAGTGCAGTACCCACAAAATAGCACACTGAGCTCCTGCTTATTTTGCCAACCCTGGAGTTTGAAGGTTAGTCTTCCTCTTGGATCAGAGCTTCTGCCCTGGTTATGTTTGAGGCTCCCAATGCTTTATTCAAGTCTATTTCAAGGCTTCATCTTTTTCTAACTAAGGCCTTATTTTTCTGCAAGTACTTGAGTGGCACTTGGGCCTGACTCTTCGAATGAGGCTATTTCTTTGAACTGTGATAGATTTTGATCCGATTCCTTTTGAGAGTGAACTATTCCCAAACTTGGATCTGATTAGCCTTTGGTTTGACTTTTGGAATGTACATTGGAACTGTGCTGTCTAGCCTTCAGCCTGACTCCCTTGGGAGCAGACTGTCCCTTAGAACTGCGTTGATCAACCTTTGGTCTGATTCTCTTGGGAACTGGGCTGTTCTTTGGAACTGCAGTGACTTGACCTTGATCTACCTTGATGAAAGCGGACTGTTCTATTAGGACTGGCTGGTATTAAGGCTGCAGGCTGTTTGAGATGTTCAAGCTGTTTGAGTTGCAAGCTACTTAAACTGTTTGAGTTGTTTAGGCTGTATGAGAATTA